TGCACGCCTTTTTATAGTATGGTATGTTATCGTATGAGTGGTTGAGTGGTTGTTGATTTGGGAAGAAATGCTCTTCGGATAGTGTCTCCGTCGCCAGTTTCTGGCCTCCTCTGCCTCCATCTCCCTGTCGGCTCTTTCTGGTCATTTCTGGTTGTCTCCCTGGCCCATCTCCCGTTTGCTGGTGACTCAGTGAGCTGTGCATCCGGTCTCATTCATAAATGCGGGAAGGAGTTGGTGGGAAGAGAGTCCCAGTGGCCTGAGCGACAGGGTTGCAGAGGCAGTGAAGGGGGGACTGGAGCTGACCTGGATGGGCTCTAAGACAATACATATGCGCAAGCACCCAGCTGCGATGGGGAAGGATGGGTGGGGCTGTGGGTATGAGTAGGAGAGGAGAGAAGGGAGGAGATGGGGTTGATGGGTATGAGCAGGAGGGGGAAGGGAAGTGGAAACCCAAGGCTGTGGGGGTTCAGATGGGAAAGATGGAGAGAGAAAAGGGGTATGGAAATAGAAGGTAGGGGTGTATAGGGATGAGAGAAAAGAGATGGCATGAGGAAGAAAGAAGCCATGCTGGAAGAAGGGGGTAGGGAGAGAAGATGGGTACTGGGAAGAAGGTAGAAATGGACGGTAAGCTGAGTATCAAAGGTGAAAGTTGCAATGGATCCAGATATGAGAAACGAAGAGGGGAGATGAAGGGTTCGTGAACATCAAATGTGAGAACAGGATTGGAGTTCACTGACCATGTTGTCCCTGTCCCCCCACCTCCAGGTACATGGTTCGGGTCCGAGCTGTGGTGATGGCCCGAGATGACTCCAGTGGGGGCTGGCTGCCTGTGGGGGGCGGGGGCCTCAGCCAGGTGAGCTTATGTCGGGTCCAAGGGGCCAGGCCCGAGGGGGGGGCCCGCCAGGGGCACTACGTCATCCACGGGGAGCGACTCCGGGACCAGAAAGTGAGCCACCCTGGGGCACGGGACTAGGGTGGGGGCCTGGGAAAATAGGGAAGTGGGCCTGGGAGTGCAGAGGTGAAGTCAGGTCATCTCCAAGCCTGGGAATCAAACCTGAGTGCGGGATGGAGTTTGGAAGTGGATATCTGTCCTATGGATAAAAGTTGGGAGTTTCGGGAACATTTGGATTATTAGGCAGGTTTTGTCCACTGCCATCGCCTGATGGACTATCATAGCAGCCTCCTCACTGCTCTCCCTGCCCTGCTCCCTCCCCCACCTCATTGTGTACCACAGGGGCTCTGCTAACACGTGACTCAGGTCACATCCCTCCTCTGCTTAGAACCTCTCATGGCTCCATCTTGTCCAGAGTCCTCACCGCAGTGCCTTACACTCTTGGCCTCTATCTGCCCTAAATATATGGAGGCATTTGGTGGAGGACTATCTGGAAATGTCAAATAGGACTTACAACCCTATATTTGGGTTCAGCAGGCATATTCTGGGCTGTCTGGCACGATAGGGAAGAACAGTGTTAAAGTTTCAGTTGGGGGTGTAGTAGAAAGATCTGGATGGTTTGCAAAGGCTTGGGGGAAGGGTTGCATTTCAGAGGAGTGGTCAGAAGGAACAATGCATGGGGATTTGACATGGTGTGAAGGAATATAATGATGTTGGGCAAGGATATAAGGGATTATCTAGGGCAGTGATGGCGAACCTATGACACGCGTGTCAGAGGTGACCCGCGAACTCATTTTTTTGGTTGATTTTTCTTTGTTAAATGGCATTTAAATATATAAAATAAATATCAAAAATATAAATCTTTGTTTTACTATGGTTGCAAATATCAAAAAATTTCTATATGTGACACAGCACCAGAGTTAAGTTAGGGTTTTTCAAAATGCTGATACGCCGAGCTCAAAAGGTTCGCCATCACTGATCTAGGGTGTTGACCAGCATGTGTTGGGGAATCTGTGGGAGTTTGATAAGAATTTGGGGAGTAGTGTTTTGGGAGATTATTGGGGCATTGAGAGGGGATTAACAGTAATATTTTGAGGAGTTTAATAAAATTTGGGGAATACTATTGAGTCAGAAGGAGGGATATTTGATTATCAGAAGTGGACTAATTAGTTTTTTGAGGCATTCAATAATATTTGGGATTACTATTGGTTTATCAGAGGCGGGATATTGGAAAAAGTAGGAATCAGGGGGTTTGGGGTAAATATTGGAGTATCAGATGTCTGCTCAATAAAATCGGGGAGTGATATTGGTCAGGGTTCAGGAGTACACCTAGGATAGAGAAATGAGGTTTAGGGGTACGCAGAGAGGCTGGGGGAGGAGGAGAAGTCCTACGCATGGCTGGATAGAGGTGTCTGACCTGCTTCTCTTGCCCTCAGACCACCTTGGAGTGTACCCTGAGGCCAGGCTTGATTTACAACAAGGTGAACCCTATCTTTCATCACTGGAGCTTGGGTGACTGCAAGTTTGGGCTGACATTTCAGAGTCCTGCAGAAGCTGATGAGTTCCAGAGGAGCCTGTTGGCAGCACTGGCGGCACTGGGTCAAGGTGAGTGGTACAGGTGGTGGGCACTGGGGGCTGGGGTGGAGGGGTGGGAGAAGCTGGGGTACATGGAACTCATTCTCTGCTTCTCTCCCTGTCCCAGGCTCACTCACTCCCTCCTCCTCCTCTTCCTCCTCCCCTTCCCAGGACACTGCAGAGACCCCCTGCCCTCTGACGGTGAGTTTCCAGGACCAGCTCTGCTGGAAAGGCAGAGGTTTATTTTTGCTCTCCAACCATTATTGAGCACCTACTGTGTAGCAGGCATCATGCCACAAGCTAGGGACAGCAATTTGGGCCCAAACTATCAGGTCAATTCTATCCCAGTTACTCTAGTTTCTGTTCTATCACGATAGAACATATTCACACATTCATTCAAGGGTATTTATTGAGCAACTTTAATTAGCAGTGTTTTAGGCACTGGGGATACATCACTGAACAAAACAAAGTCCTTTTCCTCATGGAGCTTCTTTTCTAGCGTGGAAAGGCAGGTTTTTCCCCCAAAAAAGATAAACTAAAAAAAATGAATAAATATTAAAAGTAAATGGATGAACAAATTAATGACAAGTCCATCCTTTTAGTGTCGCAGGGTACAAACCTTGGAGTCAACCTTGACTCCTCTCTTTTTTTATGCCTCTCTGTCAGCAAATATTGGCTTCACTTTCAAAATGAT